GCCTCCTTGGGCCACCTCTTTCCCCAGGAAGTCAAGCTTCCGCGCGTCCACCTTCCACCCTTTCCTGCAGTGTCCTCCCCTCCCTGTGGAGACGAACAGTCAGCTGATCACCCTCACTCCCACAAATACCACCACAACCCTTGTGGGAAGCACCACCAACAGCTTAAGCCGACCTGAATTCCACTGGTCTAACAACAGCCTCCGCATCTGCCACTCCACACAAACCCCCCCTCCTGCCTATGAAACCATCATAAAAGCTTTCCCAGACTCCTGAGCTAGGTCCTTCCTGCAAACATGCACGTGCATTTTAGGAGGAACCTCAATCATCTCAAGAATTTTCTGTGCATGATGAAGATCTCTGAGAATTCTCCGGCTGTCGTTGCAGAGGGGACATACATTGCCAAGAGGCGGGTAGTGGCGATTTCTTAGAGCACAATATCCCGCTGTCCAAGGGATCACTTTGCACTGCTGGCTCTAATTTACTGCTCTGCCATATGCTTGCATATTTATAGTGTTGTATCTTTAATTGTAACCATTGTATCTTTACTTTAGAGGAAAGAAAATGCTGCCACATAAAACCCAGACCATTTCTTGAAGAAATAGATCATGTTAAGGATTACTGATATACACATTTTGCAAATTTCACTATTCTGTTTTTAGTTCTGGTTTTACGTGTTTTCCCAGGGATGTTATATTTTCAGAGAACACCTCCCATTACCCACCTTCCTCCTATAACCACAGAACAGCTTCTCTCTGATGAACCTTAGTCGCAGACCTTGTAGAGGATTTAACATCACAGTCCTGGCTGTGGTCATAGGCATCCTGTTCTGCTGATTGTAGAGGATCTTAAAAGACTCCATGTTAGGGCTGCTTGTATAAAATTCCCCACAGTGTGGGAAAAACGTTGAAGTATACGAAACTTCATGCAGAGAGGTCTCGAATAACATACTAAATGCATGGTAACAATTATAAAGAATTTTCTGTCTGCAGCCAGCAGAACACGTAGTCACATTTTAATACCCAGCAAGGCCGTATGGGAGCAGAACTCCTCATGTTTCATTTTTCTAGTTCTGGTTATCAAGATAAGCAGCATGAATGACAACTATTTTTTTAATTAAGTTTCCTGTTTTGCTATGGGATTACTCACTTCCTTATTTCAAATAGTTTTTCTCAAATTGTACCAACATTTAATTCTTCCTGGCAAATTATTGACTGAAATCTTGTCCTTCACTAAAGCAAGATTTTAGACATCTATGGCTGAATACTGGGATTGCACAATTAGCTGGAATATGAAGATAAAGATAGAATATTTAGTTGAGGTTAACATATCTTCTCGACTCTTATACATGTATCATGTCAAGCTAACCCCTGGCTTAGCAGAGACTACTTGCACTGATGTGAGAGAAGTCCAGGATCTGGAAACAGCACAGAAAAATGGGGCCTGATTTAAGTCTTGTTGTATCAGTCTCCTGTTAAATATTTCATATTCAAATAAAGGGTAAAGAATTTCCACAAGTAGAGGAGCAGTCCTACTCCTCCCTTACAAATAAGCCTGTTGCTCTTAAAAGGGCTAGGCAACTACCAGTCCCTGATCTTAAGGGGGCTGGTCCTGTGCTTCTGTAGAGAGAACAAGTCCTCATCTGTCTTCTGGGAGGAAGGAAGATTCAGCAGCTTTTGAGAACGGGCAAAATGCTTAACATCTTACTTTCCAGGCTTTTGGAGACTGGCAGCATGCATCCCTTTGCAGAGCTCAGCATCCCTCAGGAAGCACTGGCATTGATCTCTGAACTGCAGTCTTCCAGCCCAGTATCACCCCATTTGCAAATACTGCTACAAACATTGAGCTTACAAGCGTTACTTACTGTAAACCACAAGTATTCCTTATTGTAAAGGCAAATTATTTTGCATGTATTTACTGACTGGCTTTCATTGGTTTATTTTTAGTGTGCAACATTTTCCCTTCTGGAGAGATATATATCATTGCTAGAAGAGCAACCATTTACAGAGTTTACAGAGCATTTCACTGCAGACATTATGGGTTCTAGCACACCGGGGACTTGCTGATAAGACTGCAAAACTGCATTTGGCAGGTTGCAGGCTACGGACTTAAAATAATAGTCCTCTGGAGAAAGGAAGTTGTGTTCATTCATTCATTAATAATATTTTTTTCACTTAGAGTCTTACTGAGTCTGGTGAACTTCATTGCATGCACAAGTGCGTTCACAGTGTCCTAGCTCTAGAATAGGTGATGCCACCTATTCTAACATGCCTACGAAAAGCAGAATTCAAGCCTGCTTGCTTTGGTTACTGAGTTTGGCGGACTGTTTGAAGAGACAACTTGGCCTACAGTGTGTACCCAGCTGGCCAAAACTGCTTGTTTCTTGAGAGTGAAATTGTTTTAGATGAGTAAATTTTTACTCCTGGATTGTAAATGCACATTACATTACAGTAGAACTTTCCACAGCATATTATTACTTGTATTACACTATATTTAGTAAACAATGTAGAAAGGGAAGCTTAAATGTACTGTATTTTTTTCCTCCTGAAATCTGTACTGGATATCAAAACATTTTTTATGTCCCCTGGATTAGGGAGATTAAAAACACAGATTGTTTGGTGCATAACCAGTATGACTGTCAGATACCTAACTACTAGTTTAAACAATGTCTGAAATGAATGTTTTGCAAGCACTCTGGAAGCTTCAGAATGTGAAATAAAGTTAGATGTTATAATCTCAGGCTCATGTTTTTCCTTAAAGATGAATGTGTTGACTTGCATAAAAGATCCTTTAAAGGGAAGGGTATCATCTTTAATTATGCAAGCTGATATAGTTGGAAGTGTGAATGAGCACTTGGTCCTTCCTCTGCTTCTGTGAGGAGACACCCCAAAGCTGAAGATGTTATATGAAGTCAGAGATGGAATTTGCCTTATGAAAACACCTTCCAAGGATTACAAGTGAGAACGTCTCTCACAAATAACAGTGCTTACAGATTTTAAATCCACTGGTTTCCAAGTACTTAGACTTCAATCCACAAAGTATTTGAGCAAATGCTTGCTCTAAGTAGATGGGCAATCACTATAAGGTTCATGCTTAAATGAACTCATGCACATTTTATTGCATTAGGACCAAAGTACATTGCACAGGATCAACCCCCAAATCGAACTGCGGGATTCAGGAATCATCAGGTGTTTGATATGCAAAAGATTATACTTGCTCACTGTAGTGGTCTCTTCTAGCCTTTTACTTCAATTTAAAATACTGGAAAGAAGAGCTGAATTAAAAAACCTTATTACTGCAGATTTCAAGATTGCAAAACATTCTCAAGCAATGAATTAAGCTTCGCAATAATTTTGCATGTAATGCATTTTCACAGTGAGAGGCAGTGATTAAAAGGGTGCTCCCAGAATCACACAGGGAGTGGTAGGCAGAGCTTTGATCAACCTCCAGATATCCTGACAACAAGTCCTGAAGTGAGCAGAGCTACTTCTCCTCTTCATAAAGAGAAACACTATTCTATTATTGTCCATGTGCACAAAACCATTGCTCCAGTTCTGGTTTCATATAGAAGACAAAACTTGACAGCTCTCTGTCTGACAATAGTTATGTTCCAGCATATTTACAAAAGTAGCTCATGCTATATTCCTTGACCTTTC